GTTGATACAGTTAACTGGATGGTAAAAAAACGTATTTGGAAAATGGCGTATTTTTCACGGTGCTGCGTCGACGAATGAGTTGACAGAAAAGAGTTGGAAAAAATTCGTAATTTAATGGAGAAAAAATAGTTTGGTGTGGTTAGTTTTAGATTAAAGTGAATATCTAAATAAGTAATTTAAAAAAAAGAAAAATTTTAAATATTTGGTTGGCACGAATGCGGTTGTTCATTTCTATTCATGTGTATGGCAAAGTAAGGTTTAATAAATGTGCTACATTAGTATGTATGTATGCACATGTACATATGTAATTACATACATACATACACTTTGTAAATAATCAAAAAAAAAACGCCGCTGCAAAAATCAGGAAAAAGTCTCCCGAAATTTAGGAAATTGCTAGTTGTGTGTACGCGAAAAATAATTTCCAAAAAGTGAAAGAAAATTTATTTCGTAATGAAAAATGACAGAAATCGTAAGCACTCAAAATTTAAAAGATAATTAAAATCGTACACAAGTACTTAAATAAATGGATCCATAAAAATTCAACTCAAAAATGATGACAAAGGTTTAAAAAATGGTCAAAAAACAAATTTTGTGTGAAATCGGTGCCATTGGTGAGCTGAATAAACAAATATGTATACCTGGCACATATCTGCGAGATATTCATCAATATTTAAAAAATATGAAAAAAACACCGAAATCACATTTGTAATGAAACTTTCACTGCAGTTTTTAAATGCTCTGTAAAGTAAGTTTCAGTGTTCGCAAACGTGACTCTTAATTCAGATAATATAATTTCAAAAGGATACATTCTAACAATTTGATTTATATATATTTTCTTGGTAACTATTAGTGGTCTAAATCTATAGATGTATTTGTAAATGAAATGCCTGCCGTATGACCGCGTTGCCTAACCAGATGGCTGCACCGATTTCAACTTTGTAAAACGGACTTCTTTGAAATTACTGTGTGGAATATTTTTCGCTAAAGGAAAAGCACAACTTTTTTTGTTGTTAAGTGGGCCGATTTGTTTCATATTTGGAACATACATACATATGCCAGCACCTGGAAAAGAAATATTGTGATCAAACATTTATTAGCTAGGTGGCGCACAGTGGGACGTCCCCATAAAAGCTGCGGCCAAAAATAGTAACCGTACTGAAATTTCGTATATGGGTGTTTCCAGCGGAAGGTCCACCACGACAAAAAAAATAAAAGTTTTATATCTAACGTATTTACGGGCCGATTTGTCTGCTTTTTAAAATATATACTGGCTATGTAAGTAGAATCATGTTTGCATAAAATGGTCTTCCTAGGTGGTGCCAAGGTCGAGATATTTCGAAAAACCGTATTTATGGTCCGATTTGGTTCGAATTTGGCGTATGTGGTTGAAACATAATAAATCATAGATTTCTAATAAATTGACCCTGAATTGGCGCTGAAGTCAAAATATAAAGTATATTCTACATAAAATACATGTTTTATTTGCGTTGAAAATTCATTTAAAAGCAATATTAACAAAAATATAACGATGGAAATTTATGTCACGTGACGCCACGTCACGTCACGTTTCACACTTGGGGTTGTAAAAGAGAATTGAAACAATTTGCATTAATTCAAAAAACTCTAAAAACAACTAGAATTGCTCCAAATCATATTAAAATAAGTTTCATGAAAATAGCCATCCACAATTCGCAGAGTTTTGTGATTTTGTAAGAAAAGAAAAAATCAACTTCCATTTTTTGTCAAGTAACGACCCTCCCTTTAAATTTTTATATTTCAGGACCAAGCAGTTCGATTGATTTCATTTTTCGGTTAAATATAGAGCTAATTATGTGCTATACAATGGCCCAAAAAAGTTAAATAAAACGAATGGTATTCCTTTTTTGTATCACATTGAAATCGTACGACTGTCACGTGCGCCTCCATGGGAATGCCCATATGCGCTATTCGGCATTTAGGAATGAAGAAATGTGGAAAATAGTAAAATTCAATGGGCTACCACGCCCACAGCTCTTGTAGGCGGAAATAGTAAATGTTATCCGATTTTAATGAAATTCAGAGCATATGCTGGTTTTGACGAGAAAAACATCTGAAAGATCATCAAAATCGGTTTACATTATTGTCTAGTAATTCTAGACAAACGAGCGCAAATTAAAAAAAAAAAAATAGCTCTTTTTGATGAAATTCTCTGTGTGCCCTGCTCGTTGAAGCCAAATTTTTCCAACCTGGAAGATAACAAAGGATTTCTTATTACGGCGCCCACCTGCCACACAACTTTTTTGGCTTCAAGTACTAAATTTTATGAATTTTGGAGAAAACGAAGAGGCAGATTTATTTTATTTCTAAAGAAGCTCATATTTCTTCATTTTAAAAGTGACAAAACGAACACATTTACAAATACCTGCATACTATATTATGTGCACGATATGTAGATATTTACACTCAAACTTCCAATTTTACCTACATTTTATAAAACAAAACCTGAGCTAAGGCAAGCAGGACTCTTGCCATCGAAAACGGATCTCGTCCAGAGAAGCGTCCATTTTTGGCTGATTGTTGAATGTGATTAATAGATTGGCGAGTCACTAATAGCTACACCTTTTATAAAAATTTAAAGCGATGCTTGACCAGAGATATATTCGAAAACTGCTCATCAATCAGATTAGAAAAATGAATTCCAAAATATTTGCGACAAAATCAATATTTTTTCCTACAAATTTATTTTTTCGCATTGTTCCTCCTTTAAGCTCGAGTCATGACTGCAAATATGCATTTTTATTAAAAAATTCTTTTTGGTTTGGGTTAGCTGGATATTTTGCTACGCATATGTGTAATTACTTTTTCAGAATTCGCGAATTCGTTTTTACTACTTTTGGCCGCTGTAGTCCCATTTAGTGGCGCTGCGGTCGGGATGCTCCTAAAAACTACAATTACTTGCCGATTTGGCTCATAATTAGAACACATGTTAGCCAATAGAAAATAAATATTTGGATTAAAAAATCACACGATAGGTGGCGCTGTGGCCGAGATATTCCTAAAATTCTTATAGACTGGGGGAAGGATAGATATCTACTATATATGTATTTGTGAAAGAATGTATATACGTATGTGCAAGGTGACAGCCTAAACCGATGGACAGACGCGACGTGAAGATCTATGGTAAATGCGTGTATATTCAAATGTGTTTATACATGAGGGCGTGGCATATCCCTTAGGCGCGCAATTTTTATCCGGCAATAACTTGGGGCGGCGGAGACATTACTAAAAGAGACTCTTATAGTAAATTAAAAATTGATGTGAATTTTCAAGGAGTCTAACTGAAAATATAGAAGAAAAAAAAATTAGAGAGCTGCCACTTGTTTGAAAATCGCAGTTTAAGTAAATTGTTAAGATAAATAAAATGTTGCAATATGGCTGTCAACGAAAAGAGGTTAAAGAAGGCTTATAGCTGAAAATATTTTTGTGGAAGGTTGCCACATGTTTGAAAATTTTAATTTAATTTAAATGATAAGTTATTTGTTTTTGTTATTTTATGGCCTCATAACAATTTTATTCAACAATTCTTATTGAGCTTGAGGCCGGTTTTAATGAAAAACTATTGTGGAAAAGCAACAATAATTTTGGAAAAAAATGGTAGAAGTGATAGCTATTTGGGAAATCAGCACACTTCCTCATCAGACTTCTTTCAGTGGGATTCGATCCAAAGACCCCAGCTGACTCAGCCAGTTGCCTGCGCACCGTGCTAAGTTCGCCCTGAAAATTCTTGTTGCAACAAATACATATATCGTTTTTTACAGCTGCAAATTTTAACAAACGCAATTGCCGTCAAATAATTTGAACAAAGAATATCAAGAAATGTAGCTATTATTATCTATATGAATTACTTTTGTTTTTATATTTATTACGTCGTGTATAATCTTCCGGAAATAAGAAGCTGATGCAATATCGTTGTAAACGTTTTCCTCTTTGCTTTGGTATCCTAATTTGGAGCAGCGTATTTAGATTACAATGATGACTGTGTGAAGGATAAAGCACCAGGGTAGCTAACTCATTTCAGAGATCTCCTCGATTTCGACGATGAAATTCCCCGATTTTGTCCGAAATTCCGTAAAATTGCCCAACCGTAGATAACTCCTGTATATCTCGTATTACTATTTATTTTATTTTTAAATACGTATAATTAATCCATGTATTCATAAATAAAACCAAACTTTTATTTAGTTTGTTAACAAATAAAGAATAAAAAATGTACATATAATATTTACATATGTACATACAGCGGTCGAAAAAAATTTAGTCGCACCAAATTTTGACAAGTTTTCCCAATTTTTTATTTTTTTTGTTTTGTTTTTTAATTTGAGTTATTCTTTTAAAAATATAGTGCATTCTTTAACAAAAACCGTTTAAATCCAAGTTTCAAACTTTGGGCAATATTTAAAAAAAAAATCAACAAATTTTCGTAAAAATTTCGAGCTTTTTAATTAGATTTTCCGGAAAAATTTTGAGAATGCAGTTTTGTAGCCCACTCAATTCTAGCATAAAGAAGTGCAAGTTTCAAGTACCTAAAAATTTTTGTTTTAATTTATTATACTAAAATTGAGCGAACTACAAAACTGCATACGGCTCATTCCAGGGTGACGGGTGAGACATTTCAACTTACATTTCTTTAAATAATTATGAAATTCGTGAAGTAAAAAGAAATTTTTTTTACACCTAATTCCTCACAAAAATAAGTTCATCCCCCGCTTCCCCTTTTTTTAATTCCCCACAAATCGGGAAATTCCCCACGTGTTGGCTTCCCTGATAAGCATTTTGAGCACAATAAAAAAACATTGTTGTTGTAAACAAATGACAGCTCAATGTTACCACCTAGCGCCTAAATGCTTGCTACAGTTTCAGCGTTATAAATAGATTTTTTTCTATAAAAACCACAATGTAATTAGAAAATAAGAATACAAAATTAACTTCACAATGCATCCTTGCTTTCAACTTGCCAGATCAACTCGTTTATTCGGGAGTTAACTGTAGTAGATTCAGTTAAGTCTTAAAGCTTAAACAGACGACAGCGTTGTTCCGGATTAACTCGGACTTAATCCGAACCAACTGCAGTTAATTCCCGAGTTGATGACAAGAGAACGTAGAATAATGAGAGTATGCTAAACTAGCCTGGACATCGTCGAGATATATTAGATATCTGCAAATCAAGTTTCTCCACAAACAAGCAGTTTTGGCCGTACTATAATTTATTGTTTTACCACCACAAAGTTCAATGCATTCCAAAAATTTCTTATTCACTTGCTACTTTTGCAAATGCAATAGAATGCTTTGCGATTTTGAAAAAATGCTTTCATAAACTCTTCAATCATAAGACTTCGTTGCAAAGTTGCCGTGGTTGGGGTGGCCTAAAATAGCCCACAATAGCTGTAATCATTTTAAATGAGTCATTGCTGCTGAATTTATTAGAATACAATCAACGTGAAATGGGAAGAAACTAACTAAAACAAACGTACATTTGCACATACATACATACAGTACAACCAACAACAATGATAGGTAATATGAGTAAAAGAGGAGACGGTGCGAGAAGGCGCAGCAATAAAAGTAAACAGCAAAACAAAAATATTTAGAAACTTAAAAAACATACTACATACATACAACTGAAAAAGGAAAACACAAAGCTTGTGGCAACTAAACTTGCAGCCAATCAGGCCATATAGTGCAACATGCGACAAAACGATAGCACCTCAATATTTCTAAAAGTTTTAACTACTTTTCTTTTGTCTAATTATCTAATGTTCCTTATTTTTTTTTTTTTTATATAGCTCATTACCACATAAGTTTGGCTGTGTTGCATGTACTTGAGTATTTTAACACCGTGTACGTGCTTCTTTTGGGTAAAATTCCATAATTGTGAGCTTGCAGCAAGCTAGCGACATATCTAACCTCTTCCAGGCCGGTGAAGGTGATGCGGAAGTACTCCTTCTTTGCTAGCTCGTGTGCTGCTTTCTCTTTTCCTGGTATGTTACAATGTCCCAGTACCCATACCAGGTCTAAGACGAACTGCTCTGCCATCTCATTTAGGAGTTAGCGGTAGTTCGCTATCGTATCCGAATTTATAGTATCCTAAACGCCGCTTCACTGAATCCTCCACCTACCCTGCTATGAAGCTTGCATTCATCGGTGTAGAACCGAATCAAATTTTTATGCCCCGGGACTCCTTTTGACCATGATTCCCTACGTGGTATCGCTGTGTGATATGTTTTACTGAAAGTAGCGTCGTTTTGGTTACTTAGAATGGTGCTTTCCAGCTTTTTAGTTATTACAGTCTTAGGGCAGCATTGCCTGGCTATTAGATCTACTGGTAGGATATTTAGGATGACATTCATGGCCTCTGTGGGTGTTGTCCGCAAGGCACCACCAGCGCCGTTCTTTGTAGCTTCTGCGGCTTGAGAACGACCGTCTTTTTCTATAGTATTGGCCACCACGCGACTACGCCATATAGAAGTATGGATCTGACTTCTACAGTGCATACCCAGCGTACGGGATATACCCCGCTTTTGGCCAATAGTCTGTCAGCAGCTGTATATCGCTGCTATAGCCTTGCGCACCCCTTCCTGAGTATTCTTCGTCCAAGTCAGCTTCTTATTCGAGAGGAGTAAACCCAGGTACATTGCTGATTCACTTAAATTAGGCATCTTGCTTGCTAACACAGGTGTTTTTAGCTCGGGGACCTTGAACTTCCTGGTAAAAAGTACCACGTCGGTCTTATGTGGATAGACTCCTAATCTGTTCTCTTTGCCCCAAATATAAAATCTCTTAGAATTATATGTATTAAGTCATACAGGCTTTGTTGAAATTTTCAACTTACAGCCAGGGCAAGGTCGTCTGCAATACCATACATACATATAAATACCATCTTTGGTTCTCTCTTTGGTTGGTTGACAACGTTTTGATGATTTTAAGCAGCCAGTTCAATCTGCGCTCTATTGATTTGTGCATTTGAATCGGTGTGATACCATCGGGACGTGGAGTTTTGTATAGTTCAAAGGTCCCTATTGCCCATGTGATCATTTCTAGGGTGATTAGCTTCCTGATAGTAGATTGGCCACTAGGCCCAAGCGGTTTGTCTGGCATACAGGTGGTATCCACTCAAAAGTGGGTACCCAGGAGGAGGTCGAGGACCTCCTCTTTCGTCTCAGTCCACGAACTGTTAGCCCTCATCAAGCAGCTTGGCACTCCGTGTAAGATTCTCCTAAGCGTTTTACCCTCCAAGACAGATTTCACCCCGCTGCAGAAGTCCTTCCAGTTGCATATCTCCGATCTTCTTGTACTCCGTTAGGAGTTCTTTGTATAGTAACCGATCTCTCTCTCGCTCCTCACCGCCCGAGGCAGTGCAGTCTAGTAGAATTTTTCAAAACTTATAAAAAGTTTCACATTCGGTTTTAAACGGTTTGGTTAGATAATAAGCTATACTTTTATTAAAAACTAATTAATTAATTAACTAATTTTCTTAAAATTTCAGAAGTTTTACTTAAATTTTTTTGAATAAATCGAGTAAAAGTTCCGAAATTTTAAGAAAAATTTTTAGTTTTTATTCATAGCGCCCATTAAAAAAAAAAAAACAAACATAGTCAAAAGTGGTCAAAATATTGAGGTGCCACATTTTGTCGGGGGCTGCACTACACCAAATCAGCCATAGAGCCCACACGACCAGCCGCATTGCCCATCGGTTGCCCGCTTAGCTCAAACATGCAATTGCATACCGATTTCTTGCTGAGTTCATGCATATATATGTATGTACATATGTACTTACAGATGTGCATTGTGCGTTGTTTGTCCGCTGTTTGTGCAAACCAAAGAACAACTCCTTGCTGTGTTCAAGCGCTGCGCTCTCCATGTTTGTTCGTCTATCCGTCTGTCCTACTGTCTGACTATGCGTTTTATTTGTTGGCACCCTGTTTTTTACTGTCCATTTCTGACATATGTACCATGTCTTGTTGCTGCAACTGCAATTGCAATGGCAATAGTGCGCGTTTGGCTTGGCAGCTATGTATGTATGTGTGTGTGTGTGTGTGTGTGTGTGCGCTAGTGCGTGCGCCTAATGAGGCAGTTAAAAGAGCTGTACAACAACGTTACAACAACGACATGAATGTGAATAGGTGAAGCTTTGCAAAAGGGGTGGATAAAAATAAATCATCATCTGACATTACTTCTGCTCTTTCAATTATTGTGTTTACACACTTTTACGCAGCGTGTGATTTTGTAATATTTTTTGTTTTTTTTTCTGGACATTACTCTATTTGCTGCATCATCAAATCTAATCAATTCACTGCATTGGTAGTAGTTAGTAGCGCTGCTCGAAATTATAAGTGAGTGACAAAAAAAAGTGACTGATAATAATAAAAAAAACAAGAATGATAAAGTAAACAACTAAAAAAATGCGTATTTGTTTTGAAAGCTCTAAAAAAAATCTAAAAATCTTCCTCATATTGCACCGTGCGACAAAAACAAAAAAAAAAAAATCAAAACACACAAAACAATGGGCCAAATTTAGTAAAGTTGTGTTTTTAGTTTTTCATTCTGACGTCCGGATTTTTTGGAAGGACTTTAAAATTTTAGAGATATGATTAATTCAAAAAAATATTTCAAACAAATCAGTGGAATGTAAAATAACAATATGGGCACCAAATGAAAGAGAAATTTCTGTAGAATTGAAAAAATTAAAGTTTTTTTCGTCTACAAGGACGAGTAACACTATGTAACAAGGTTTTTGTCCCTGGGTTGTAATTGTTATTTCCTAGTCAGTTAGGTCCCAAAAGTATAGAAAACAGCTATTGTCGCAAGATAACTTTGCTTTTGTGACCATGGCAGCGCATGGCATGGGTCTTATAAAGCAATTCGTCAACGCTCTCGACAAAAATTCTTCAGCGTTCAAGTACCTACAAGACTTGTTCCCTAAGCTCTCTGAGGCGAAAGTTACAGCCGGTATCTTCGTTGGACCACAAATAAAGAAAATCTTCGAGTCTGAGGAATTCCCCAAGAAGCTCACTCGTCAAAGTCACATGTCAGAGGAAGCGTCACGAAAGCAAAGTTTCCGAGGAATATTAGGTGGTTTCCATACTTTTAAGGCATAACAGACTAGGAAATAACAATCACATCCCAAGGACTGAGAAATTTTTTTTTTTGTTACTTAGTGTAATTAATTAATTTTATTTTTTTAAGTTAATAAAATTAGGAGGGTGAAATTCGAGGATGTGGTCGCGTGTATATTAGTTCTTAATATATACTGTTTTTTCAAAAATAAATATGTATTTAAAATTTTCAAGGATAAAATTTTAAAACGAGATTTTCCATACCCATTCGTCATTATGCACCAAAAATTTTAATTTAACATTCTTTTAATTCTACAGTATTTTCTCTTTAATTTGATACGCACATTGTTAATCTACATTGCACTGAAATTTTTTAATAATTTTTTGAATTGATCACATTTTTGAATTTTTAAAGTCCTTTAAAAAATCCTGACGTCACAGTGAAAAAATTAAAAAAACCACTTTTACTATATTTTTTCGCATATTTTCGCGAATATATTAATTTTTGTACCTGTAAAATTAACTATCGCACGGTGTTATTAGTTGCAAATAACTATAACCGATCCGATTAACATACACAAAATTAAACGAAATTTGTGTAAAACAGCAAAACTCGTTGCTAAAATTTTAATTGAAAAATAAGAAATAACAAAAAATTAAAAAAAAAATTCACAGAAAAAAGTTGCACAAAATTTGCAAAAATAGCTGTAAATAAATCAACACTGCACTAGCCGAGTAAACGCATTCTAATCAAAATTCTCGTCGCCTTACCAACAAACAGCATACATACATACAAAAAAACAACAATAACAAACAAATTCCAAGCAGCAGAAACATCAGAAATAGCTCAACTTGATTGCACCGCATTTTGTTGCAACGACGACATTAGACTACTGGCTACACTCGCCACAATGCCGTCGGCTGTGCAACATATCAGCTGAAAGCGTAAAACGTTTCGTGTAACGGGCCGGCATTCCAGTTTGTTTTTTTTTCTCTGCTTTGCCGCACTTGCATTGCAATAACTGCGCGCTCCTGTGATTAATTACGATTGAGGTGAGTTGATGAAAAGCTACATTTGTTTTGTATATACATGACTGCATTTACATACATACATACATACATACATACAAACACATCTGTCATACAGCTAGTTTAAGAATTTCAATTGAAAAGCGTCACAGCAATGTTGTCAACAACATATTTAGTGATATGAGCAACATTGCATTCGTTAAATTTGCAAATTGAGTTTATTAACTTTTTTTGTTTTGTTTTTTTTTTGATAAGAAATGTTTGCAATTACATACATATTTAAATGATTTGGTAAGAAATAACGAGTTTGCGACAGATTCTTGATAAATAATTAAATTCCTGAGCAATTTCAGCAATTTAAGTAAAAAATGTTTTTTTTTCTTATTTGAATTTAATAGAAAAACTGACAGAAGGATTAAAATCAGTGATGGTATATACTTAAGAGGAAAATTCTCCCTCAACAAAAATAAAATCTCCACTTTTAGCTAGGCTTTCGAAAATTTTTCCCCACAAAATTACCTACAATTTGTATCTAATAATTCATTATAACAATGAAAGAATACCAAAAAAAATGTATCTACTATATAAGACACGAAAGGTTCAATGTTTAGAAAATTTATTATAATAACAAATATAATACATATACATAATATGTACCCTCAAAAAAATTTTAGTTGATTTTCTATACTTTTTGAAAAACCTCTAAATTTTTAATAATGGATCATATTTATTTCTAGTGGTATCTACTCAACTTAATTAAACTGTGGACAATTTCTAATATGTATTGTGAAAATTGGTTTCGAAAATATGAACATTTTTTATTTATATTACAAGTTAAGCATTTTTCGAATAATGGGTAAAGGTCGGTAAACCTGATGGAAATGTTCACCTCTTTAGCTTTCTTAAGCCAAAATTTAAGCTGCACGCTGTTAATAAATCTGCTGAAAGAGGTATGAAGTGACAAGTGCTTTCTTTATAACTTGTCTAAACGCTCTAGTTATTTAAAAACATTTTACATATCGTCGTTTAAAGTACAAAACCGCGTAAGTGACATTTGCTGCCAAAAACTGGATTTGCTCACACGTCCTGAAATATACTATCCAGAAATGCGATTGCTTTATAATAAAGAGAACCATTTTGAAAAATGAGTGTTTTTACAATTAAGAAAATAATTTATGCAATCTCACATACGCGGTTTTGTACTTTAAACGACGATATATAAAAATAACTTAAAAATATACTTATATGAATGCGGGAAGATGTTCGCGGAGATCGAATTTGTGGCAGACGAGTAAAGAGCAATCCTTAATTGTATATCCTGCTATTTTCAAAGTTCTTGGAAGATCCCTCGAAGGACTTTAAATTTGGACACTAATGTTATGTACTCAGCTTCGCCTAGAAAATATTATTCTGTAGGTTAGGGGCTTTTAACAAATTGATGGCCAGACTTATTATTATAAACCAAGGGATACCTAGTAATTACACGATGACAACTGTCCGATTTACAACAAAATGACTATAAAACTAATCAAGTAAAATACTTGTTTGTTTCTCAAAAAAATACAATTTTCACGCAACAAAAGTATACCGTTTGCATAAATCACTTTTTCGCATTGGTGTTGGAAAATGTAGCTTTCCGAATTTTAGCAACCGAAAAATTTTGCAAAAGTCGCAATAATTCACACACACAAGATCCAGTCTGAAAAAACGGATGGTATATGGGAAATCAGCACCTTAATTATGCCTTAAAACGATTCATAAATAATTTTGTCCACCTAGCTTGTTCTACATGGCACACGTCTAATCCTTACTTCTTACTTTGGTTGGGTTAGAGACATGAGCCCTTAACAGGATTGAGGTTTGTTTTTTGGGTTTGAGTTGTGTCGTTATTCCAGAGGACTACCAATACAAAATTAAAAAAAAAAATACATTTTATTTAACTTTTATATTCGGCTTTATCAACATTCTGGAATGGACAGCAGCTGCCTGCTGAGTTTTATTTTGACCATCCAGCGCTTTTTCTAACAACTTCATATGGATTACCTGCAGTTGCCGTTCTAAGAAAATTCGTTTAAGTGTTAAGATGTTCGGTACGACGGCCGCTGTGATTAGAGGTGCATTCGTATAACTTCGTCGGAACTGGGTTAAATTTTTGGTCCCTGCAACATCTAACTTAGAACAAGTTTTTCTAAAAGCGATCGGCAGGCAATGGTGAACTTGTGAGTGCATTTTTGTCATAAAAAAGGTTAGGTTAGATTATTTTGGCTGGCTGACCTCTCCACACATAAACCAATAGGTCCCTAGTGATGCCAGATGGAAATGGAGTTTCATTTAAGTATATTCGAAGTAGAATTGCAGCAGTTTATGAAGCCCAAATGTTGTTACGTCTCCAAGATTATAAAACTCTAGAAACCTGGAGATATTTCAATTGTGTTTTTGGTACAACGGGACATGGGATGGGTCTCCCTTGATCCCGTCCCCATGCATTTCCTGCAAACTTCACTAAAAACTATCCCCATTCTGCCTGTGGATTCCGCTCTTGGCAATCTCATCCACAATTTTGTTACCTGTAATGCTCTTGTGGCCGGCCCTATTTATGGCTTCCCTGCTTCGTAGCGCATTTTGTGACGTAAATTGGTATGAGCGTATAGCCTTAATCGCTGCTTGACTATCTACGTTTATGTTAACTATAGAGTTGTTTTCAGCCATTGAGTAGGCTAGTTCAGCGTCTTTTCCCACTGTGAAAACCTCTGCCCGGAATATACTGCAGTGATCCAGCAGCTTGCTGAGCAGTACTTTCCCGCTCCTAATCCATCATTCATTTTTGAGCCATGGGTGAAAAAGTTAAATATATTCCGGCTAGGCTTCATGCCCCTACGACATCCCTTTTCTCCGATAGTAGCCCGAAACTGCTTATCCCAGTTATAGCAGGGTATCATGTAGTCCGTGATGGCTAATTGCCCTTTGGCTATTGAGCTGTGAGCCAGTGTTTCTTTGCTTGAACTTGCCTGTTGCAATCAGTATTCCCGCGGAGCAGCAAGGCTCTTTGCCGCAAGGTCGATAGATGTTACATTGACAGTTTTTTCCAGTCCAGCCGTTGGAGTTGTTCTCAGTGCTCATGTTGTACCCAATAGAGAGAGACGCTGAACACTCTCCATTGTCTTGAGATAAGTGATCCTTTCTGTAGCGGCCCCAGAGCGCCATAGAGTAGTATTGGCCTCACTACTGCTGTGTAGCACCAATGCATTAGGGCAGGGGATAGGCCCCCAAGTAATACCTAGCATCTTTTTGCATGCGTAGAGGGAATTGCTCGCTTTCTTCACTCTGTCCTTCACATTGTACCACACAGCAGTTTGCAGTCAAGGATTACTCCAATGTACTTGGTGCGGTTCTTTGGTTTGATTTCAGTGCCGTTCAGTTTGGGGAACTTCAACGCAGGAATCTAGTACTGTCTTATAAAAAGTAGTATGTCCGTTTTATCTGCATTGATCCCTAAACCTGCGCGAGTAGTCCATTGGTGTATATGTAGTATTGAGAGCTCCATTCATTATATCACTTGTGTATCTGGGTATTTTTCGGTCACAATTACTGCAATGTCATCAGCCTATGCAACTAGTTCGGGTGCCCTCCCTTCAAAGTTATTTAGCAGGTCATTTACGACAAGCAGAGCGGTGAGAGCAACCCTCCCTGTGGTGTGCCCTTCACCGCCTGCTTAGTTAGACTGGTTTTACCCCATTCTGCCCTAATTCATCTACAGCCTAAAAGGTTTTTTATCCATAGAATATTAGCAGGTTTCACGATGTTTGCTTGTAGGCTACCTAGAATAGCTTCTCTTGATACGTTGTTAAAAGCTCTGCCGATGTCCAAGAGCACACCTAAAGCGGGATTCTTGTATTCCAGCGATTTATTTTTTCTACGTTCTTTACTAGAGCATGCAATTCAGTCTCTGTCGAACTTCCTTTTGTTTTTTCAGCATATATTATGGCTATTTTATCATTCGCAGTAGCGGACAACTTCGTCGATCTTCTTTCACCATAGGCAATTTACACATCCTTAGTCCGCACCTATATCCTTATCCATTATTTTCTACCATTAGACCTATGAGTTTCCGATCATTTACTATCGCAGCTAAGTATTAAGTTCGGGTTCCGTGTGTTTTGGCCATTTTGGTGCCGAAATCCAAGCTTAGCCTTAACAATAACTTATTTCGCCTTGATAAAAAATCCTCGTGATTGATAGAGCGGCGATGATCGGCATTTCGGGCTTGGGAGATGTGGTCTTAGAGGTGTGCTCTTTGGCGTTTTATCGTCACTTGCAGCTAGCTCAACAGACGCTGCTTACTGGGTGGGAATTTAGTAGTACTGGAGGGCATATTGCACTCGATGCTTACACTGCGAAAAAACGGCTACTTTTGCAAATTTTGTTGATGGGTGCGGTTGCCTCTGCTCTGTGCCTTCGTTGTACGGTTTTTGTGGCATATGAAAGCTTGGTGGAGCGATAGCTCAACTAAAGGCGGAAATTGTTGCTTGTGCTGTCCTGTTTTTCTTCGGTTCCCATAATTGCTCGCACTAGAGGCGGAGAAAGACACAATAATTGGAAAAAAAAAATTCTTTTAAAACGCTTATAATTCAATAGGATATTCAAATTCTGCAATTGCAAAAGTAAACGAAGCCTTTAACCAAGCACGCAATGCAAAGGAAAGTGTGCTGAAACTAAATTCGCATAAAAGTCAATATAAACAAAAAAAAAAAATAGTTTAATGCCTCAACGCGACATTATGCAGCCGATGAGGAAAAGGCGCTTCGATGAGTGAGTGGCGTGTACAACAAAACTGACAACACTAATTTTTGACACACGCATAAACAATAAAATGTGCCCAAGAAACGACAAACATGAATGTACATGCATGTACATGCATAGACATACATAAACATTTGACGACTGGTAAAAGGCTGTGCTGTGCTTGCGTGCAAAATGTGAAAGATACACGCGAGCTGCCAACATTGAAATTGAAATTTTCGGCC